CACACTCGACAACCTCAAAAGAAAGGGATTATGTCTCCCCAATCGGTGCGTTCTTTGCAAGAAACAAGAGGAGTCGGCCAACCATATCTTCATCACCTGTGAATTCTCAAGGCAGGTTTGGCTGCTGATGAAATCCTTCGTGAAGATCAGCCTACATGTAGATGGGGCGACCGATATCAAAGAAAGAATCACAAGATGGCCTGCTGCACAACCAGAGAGCCCTGCTCAATGGTGTTCGAAGGTCGCATTACACGCCTTTTGCTGGTCTATTTGGCTAGAAAGGAATGCTAGAGTATTCAGAGATGTGGCTTGCCCTGCTCGGGTACTTGTCTTTAAAATCGGAAGTGCTATCTCTGGATGGCTGACTGCTGCTAAGAAGGTAGATAAAGAGACTGCTGAACATTGGTTGAATGAGCTGCGGTCAAGAATGCTCCCTAATAGCGCCACTCATCCACCACGCTCAGTCTGATTTCTTCTCGCAGGAGCAGTTGTCCCCTGTATTTTCGCCTTTTTGCTGGGGTTCGGGAACTTCTTTTTGTTGCCGTTCTGTCCTGTTCTTGTAGAGGGACCTTTTCAACTCAGTCCGGCCGATTAGTACTGTGCGCCGAGACTGAGTTCCTGCTTTTTCCTGTTTTCCCTGTTTTTCCTTTTCCTTTTTTCTGTTAATTAATTATATATCATCCTTAACAAAAAAAAAAATCGACAAGTCATGTGGGGAGGATTGGATTCATAATCTCAGAAGGGCTCTCCTTCCTAGAAGTATCTTTTAGTCGTACTCAGAAGGGCTGCCACCACGGTGCTTGCTTTGCTTTGCTGTACTGCCACCATGGCGCTTGCTTTGCTGATGTGTTTTGGCTTGTTTGGGTTTTCTGAAGCTTTGTATTGTGCTTCGCTTTCAAATGTTGGTTCTTTCCTTCCTTTCTTTCTTTCTTTCTTTCTTGTCTTTCCCTGGTTCTGTTAACTCTTAACTCTTCTCTTAATTAATGAATTTCACCTTTATAAAAAAAAACAATTTTGTAACGGTTAATCAATAAACTCTAAACCACTAACTTTTTCGGTTCAACCCTCCGTTCCGGTTCTGAAAACCGAGGCGAGAAGATATTCGTCTCCCGCAAACTATTAAATAATCAGCATGTCTGTCTATATATACCGAATATCAAAACTCCCAATGCATAAAAACCAAAACAGCAGAATATATACTACTTTGATTAGCATCTTGAAAAGAAATCTTATAATCATGGCCGTGGCTTTCTTCCTGGTTTCCTTCATCCTCGTCCTTCCATGTACTCAACTCACACGATATCCCAGTTACTTATTACTGCTCTGCTTTTCTTTTAAAACTAAGCTAAGAGTGGCATTTTGCTGGTCATGCATGTTTGATTTCATTGATCTTAATTTTGCAGGTCTAGTGTTGGGTTTGACCGAAGCCAGCACAACAAACCCAGATGCCAATAACTCTTCCACGACGTTGCAGAAGAATGATGATGATCAGCTTCTGCACCGTGAATACTGTGATGCAGCCAACGATAAATGCGAGGCAAAATACCCCAATGGGTGCATCGGCAGATGCGTGAACAACTGCGGTCTTTGCCTTGCGGGATGCGATAATCTGGCTGGATATTGTGTTTGTATGTGTCGTGCTTGAAGCAGTTGTCGACTCAAAGAGAGTACGTACGCACGTACGTACGTAGCTGGTTTGATATAAGGATAAAAGTCTTTTAGCAAACGGTAGGAATCGTGGTGTAATGAGATAATCGCCACCTTGGTTTCGAGACGGGGTGAGTTTATGAATAACGATGCGATCTAATATCAATTGAATTAGTTTGGGCCGCTTTAAACATGAGATAGTATTTTTTTTTAGATAAGGGTGATAAAACATGAGATAGTATTAATGCACTCGATCTTACCACATTCATTTGTTAGACTTCATCATGGAGATAAGGCAAGAGCTGCTTCAATCCCATCTATTCGGGATGAGGCGACAAGATTTGGATGAAGTTCAACTTAGAAACAACCAACCCGGCCTGATGTCGAGACCACTAAGACAAAATCAACTAGTCATGAGGGTTCCCTAAGACAGTGTGAGGACACACAAACAAAAGTTACAGATTAGTTACTAAGGATATGCGATGTGGATTCCCCGAGACAGTTGGAGTAACGGACAAGCTAATGGTTATCAGGGCGTGCGGTTATACCTGATGACTATAAATAGGAGAAACGTAGATCATACAGGTTTGCAAAACCACAATTCTGATACACGTGTCAAGTTTGTAATATGCTTTGCAAGGTAGTCATAGTTGTAGCAGCCTCTGAAACTCTTACTGAACTTCCGTAGAAATAGAGTAACTTAATATAGCTTATTCCAAAAAAGAAATCACACAAAACATCATCGTTCGAACATTGTTTTGAGAGGTGTGCACCGTGTTATTTTTCGTTGTTCCAAAAATCAAGATGCATTCCATTAATATCAATACACGAGTTTTATCACTGTGAGAAATAGTCGATTTGCAGGTTTTTCAGGCTACAAGTCAATCTGCCTTTTGGTTTATCGGGAGCGAGTGAATCGAGTTACGAATCTAACAAATTACAAATTTTCTTAGGTCATCACATACGGATTGGGTTGCACGCTATTGATTTATTTTCCTTGTTAGGTAATTTAAGATTGTCTCAATTTTTACTTCACAGTTCATGGAAAAGCTCGGATAGCAGGGAGAGAGACTGACCTCAGAGAAGTCGGGATTCACTTTTGGAGATGGTATTCAAGAAGGCTTCGTCGGTGCTAATGAAGCAAAATAAAGGAAGTACACTTTTTATGGCGATAGCTAGATTTTATTTGTTTTTAGTAAACTTTTTATGGGATTTATGATGTTTATATTGTTAAATTACATGCTCTTTCTTGTAAAAATAAAAAATTACATGCTCTCTGTGACCTATGAGATGGTCTCTCCTCCAAAAAAAATTTGTTGCATTTTGTGCTAGTCACAACTAGTTATGTTACATGATCTATGAAAGTAAACTACTCACTCCATGACAATATAAGGAGGAAATTCATTTCCTTTTTCTCTTCCCCTCTATTTCATGTCATTTTGCTCCTCAAATTTTTAACAGAGCTACAGGCAAAATATTTCTTTCGTCAATAGTTTGATTGCATATTAACTACCGAGTATGATATAGTTGTATGTCTTGCAAATTTATCTTTGAGACCGGAAACAACTAATGCCCTCACAACTAATTTGACATACAAATATCATTAAAAACGACGACGCAATTTCGAGCGAATCAGATAGTCCGAAAGGCAAGGCAGGGCAACATTGAATCCAATAGACAGGATCATCAGAGTTCCCGTTTTAGAATTTGGTTGCTATATTACAAGTGACTAGTGTGGGCCTCGGCCAGTTGGCCGGAGGAAGGTGAGGTATGAAATTTGATAATATAATGGGGTGTATAGCTTATTGTTGTATAGTTTTTTTTGGAAAATTCGTGATAAAAATAGTGAATTTTAGCAGGAAAGAGACATGAATGATGCAATGAATCAAAAATCGGCCTTATGAACCAAAATCAAGTACATGTTACCTTGTGAAACAATATTGTTTCTGGTAATATGATGAGGTGGAGTAAGTTTTATCGAAACCGAATTCCAGAAAATCGAATAAAAAATCGCCTATCCCGTCGGTTTTCGGGAAATGAGCATCTCACAATCGTTGCTAGCTTTTACTCGGCCCGTTGGTCGATTAATTTGCTTTATAAAACTTTCATCTTGTCGTCATTGTGCTTTCTGGTTTTTGTTAGGCCATGATAAAATCTAAGAAAATCAAGAACGAATAACACAATTTGGGATAGGAACCGCCATTGTCGTATCCTAGAAAATGGTGGTAAACACAGACTCACCTGCCAAACCGGTTTGTATTGAGATTTTTATCGGGTATCAGGGAACCATGTGATTATAAATTAGACTTGATCAAAACGGGCCAAAACTTGAAATTCAGCATGTTTGACCGACCCATGCCAAATTCTAATTATTCTTTACTTTTAAACTTTCTATTTGAAAATAAAAAATAGTGAAAGAAAAGAGATGACTGCAATTCGCCATTTGCACATCACTTATTCGAGAATAAAACCATAAAAATTCAAAAGGAACTGAAAATGTTTAGGATCGTTTTAATGTTTAAAATAACCAAATAGATCGTTCTGTTTAGTTTTTTACTAACAAAAACCAAACGATTCCCTAGAAAATACACTATAATTTGATCATTATGATATCAAATAATTATATAATATATATTTGAAATTAGGGATGGCAATTTCGACCTGACCCGATTTACCTGACCTGTTTTGGAGCAGGTCAAACCCGCCCCGTAGGCGGGGGCGGGGCGGGCATGGGTACCTCTCATCGACCCGACATGCCCTGACCCGCCCCATTCTCGACCCGTTCTTGCCTATATTACATATAATCTTAGTCAAATTACTTAGGATTTTCCTCTTATTACATTATATTTTAGCTATAATAAAGTTGTAAATAAGTGAAAGCCTCAATTTCTTCAATAATTTAACTACATTTTATCATATTATGGTTTCTTTCTTGGTCTTTTAATGAAAATAACGAATGTTTCTAATGTTTTTCGCATAATTACATACTCAACGGGTCGACCTGCCCCTACCCGCGCCCCGTGATAAATTACCCGACCTGGACCCGACCTGCCATGGGGCGGGTATGGGTGTCGAGATACCCGCCCCGGACCTGCCCCATTGCCATTCCTATTTGAAATGATAAAAATTGGACTAATTGGGTTGGTCGAGGTTGAACCATTGAATAACTTTAAAATACATTATATTTTAGCCACTAAGATATAAAATAATAGCATAATATATATTATGCCAGAGAAAATAGCTTGTTTTAGAATGACAAACCAATGATGTTCATTTGTTTTACTTGATGGCCAAATCTCGTGTAGGTCAGACCCATTCAACTCTTTTATTTTATGGTTAGCGGTTAGCCCATACCCATTAGATAGCATGCATTAGTTTATTGTTAAATTTTTTATTTTTAGCAATAAAAATGAGTATTGTTTTTGCCTTTTCATATATATTTTATCACCAGGGAGAAATAAAAGGGTTTAAAGAAAAAAATTGACACTTATGGACCCGTTTAAATCCGCATGTGTACGGTTAGTTGGCCCGTTCCACAGAGGAAAGAGAAAAAAATTGTCACTCCCTATTCTACCCTTCCTATAAACGCTCCTGGAGCAGGGAATTTGAAATGGGGAAAGGGTTTTTTCCTCCCTGCTATTATATATTTTTAATTTAAATAGATACAACAAATGTACTTAGTGTGATTGGTTATGATCCTTGTATCGAATTTCCTCGACATGCGAAAACAGAGCAAGCTCGAAACAAATCGGGGGAAAAGAACGAAGAGAAAAAACAACGTTCTATAATTATTGACAGATGATACAATACAGCACAGAAGTCCATACATTCCTCTCCCGCCAGCCGGTGAATAACTCTACCCATCCCTTCGCCGGCCGGCTGGCTGTTCAATCTGCTTCTGTTAATGCCTCTCCAGAATCTGAAACTTTCTTTTCCTCTTCTATACATGGAGTGCTTGCAAATGGCAAATTAGTACAAGGAGCTCCTCTTAATTGGTGCAATTGAATCCGCGGCAAATGGAAAGCCAAATGATGAGGACGAGGAGCAACAAGATTCCGAAAACGATCAGCTTGATCTTCATGTTCTGGTACCACATTTTCCGCCTTATTTGTGTCCCTCGATCCTTGTATGTGTGTGCCTGTTAGAAAGAATTTCACAAGCAGAACAGGATCGCTTTTTTACTTGACTGAACCAGCAAGTTTTGCGTAGATAGGCAAAGACTTGATCTTTTCTTACCTCATTTCGCAGATTTTCAGTCTTGTCAGCGAGGGTGTTTATGTTCTCCCCTCTCTCGATTGCCTGAAAAGATACATGTCCAAAGTATGGAATTGGTTTGGTGTTTGGATAGAATGCTGATCAAACATGGCTTTTGCAGCACTGTCCCAAAGTGGGAGCTTCAAATATTCTTGCGATTCATTTCAATTTGAGTTTCCTTTTATCATTTTACAATGACCATATGAATAAGGAAGTTCGTATAGCAATATTGTAGTTCATAGGTAAGTATTACTCTATTGACTGCAATTTGTGATGGTCACTACTCACTAGAAAACCCTAGTTTCAGAAGGAAAAGAAGATAGCAGCTTAGGTTCTCCACCAGATAGAAACAGCTTTCAAGAGAAAAGGGCTCATATTACCTTGTCAATGTTGCCTAACATGATGCTTTTCACTTCTGAAACCTGAGCTTTTACTTTAAGCAACTTCTCAATCTCTTCGGCATGTTCAATAATATACTTCATATGCTCTTTCATAACCGGCCTGCGAAACAAGAACGACAACAGACACATCATCAACACTATAAAACTTGGACAGCCTAAGTCACGATACCGTCTATGAGATTTTCACCGGTTTTTCCATACCCGAATTCCTTGTTGAGACTTTTGGCCGTAGCCGTGCCAGCTTTACCACCTCCATATCTTTGCTTGAAGTCTGCCCTCATCCGTTCCAAGAACGCAATCGAGATCTGCTTGCTCGTAGCCTCTTTCGCAACAACACAATAAGCTGCGATGAAGCACACCACAACAAAAGCGCAGTTAAGCAAGCATCCTTCAAATAGCACCACCTTAAGCATACACTGAACCCCATTTTCAGCTTTCCCTTTTGATTCTCCCATAAATGTACCACAACTGATATGAAATGAATCTTTGAATTCGGGCGCCGAAAAGTTCAATCAATGATCATGAATCAGCATCCATTACATCCAAATTTGGAAGAATTGGAAGAGCTAAGGCATCCCCATATTTGGCAAAACAAATTGACTTTGCAGACCAAAGCCCAAGAACACTGAAACAAACAACATCAACAATCCACCATGAAAAAGCCATGGGAGCTTCCATTGCATGGCCCAATCCAGCAATGGAGACACCCACCAAACAAGTGTAAATACAATGCCAAAACCCATTGAATGTATTATTGATATGGAGAATATATACAGCAACGTACAGAAACAGTCTGCCTACTCCTAAGGAGTTGTGGCTAACTAAGTAGCTGGAAATAAGGAACTGAATACAGAGTGGTTAGAGACTAAGTCAATACACTCTATCACGCCCCCGCAAGTGAAACCTCGTAGAGGTGAAACTTGAAATAGAATTGCTTAAAGGAGAGTCGAGCCAATGGTTTAGTGAGGACGTCTGTGAATGGTCGGATGCCAGTAGGTAATGAATTCGAAGTTGCTTCTTGGCGATTCCTGGTCCAGTGGTGTCTGGTTTGGTCATTGATATTGTGATGACTTGATGGGGCTTCATCTCCAACCTGAAAAAGAGTACAGACGAGCTTGGTATGATTCCGGTACTCGCTGACATTATCCGGCGAACATAGCCGGCATTGGTATCCATGTCTGCAGAAGTTGCCGCTTTGTAGGATTCTTTAGCTACGGTGGTGTGGCATTTGAGAAGGAGGAAAGGACTATAATCAAGGGGAAAGAATAAAGGAGTTTACGGGAAAGAAGAGGGTATACTCTGTTTTGGCGACCATTTGATGAGGTCAGAGAGAGAAACAACTAGAGAGCGCTTGATAAGAAAATGTTGGAGAAGATGAAGATTTTCAGCAAGGGGAGACAGTGAAGGGAAAGGAGCATACGTGAGGGAGATGGAGGGGTTTGATCAGAAGAAAGATTCAGAGATGAGGTAAGAGTAAAGAGTGATATATAGAAAGTGGGAGGAGGCCAAGGAGAGGAGTAAAGAGAGAGAGACCCAGAAGAGGAATTGAAGGGGAAAAGAGGTGGGAGACGATCAAGATACAGATTTGAAGCCAATCAAGCAGGCGGATCAATAAAAGAAAGAGCCTTGTTGTGGTGGAGATAGATAATGGAAGCGGATTGAGGGGGTTTCAAGATATCAATAGAAAAGTGAGAATAGATCTGTGTTTTGGATTAAGTAGAAGAAGAACATAACCGAGAAGGAGAGGTGGTTGACATGACGAAGAAGAAGTAGAAGGGAGGGGGGTACAAATTGCCAGTAGGCTGGAGAGTCTCTGAGAAGTAAAGAAGGAAACAATAGAGGTATTGAGATAGAGCCAAAGGCTGGAAGCAAGGTGGGATTAGAAAAATGACCAGAGGTGAGGGATGATGGTTCTGGGTTTGGATTAAGAAGAAGAAATTGCAGAAGAAAACATAGCACCTCGTTAGAGGAAATTTGGGGCTCTGATACCATGTAAATACAATGCCAAAACCCATTGAATGTATTATTGATATGGAGAATATATACAGCAACGTACAGAAACAGTCTGCCTACTCCTAAGGAGTTGTGGCTAACTAAGTAGCTGGAAATAAGGAACTGAATACAGAGTGGTTAGAGACTAAGTCAATACACTCTATCAACAAGAACCCCCAATTTCCATACTTTCACCTAGCAAATTCCCCTACTTGACTACTTCAATTCCACCTCTGCATTTCTAGAAGGAAACAGCGGCGATTTTTTCACAATTCTAGCTCCGTTTCGGTCCCACTACTACTAGATCCGTATCATTCCACTAGAAACAAAACGGAAGAAGACGGAAAAACGGGTGAGAGAGAAAGAGCGATTGGAGAATTAGAGTTTACCGTAGCCATCCTCGACGAGGAAATTGAAGGTGTGGTGGTCGCAATTGTAGGTGAACTTGTCGTTGGAAGAAGGCAATCTTTGGAGGCACTGAGCGGCGATCGCCGGGAAGTTGCCGGTGAACTCGGTGTACTCGGCCAGCACCACCGTGCCTCGCGCCACGAAGCTGTAGATGAACGATTCCTGATTCATCCCGGCCATGGCCGCCTACTACTGCCCTTCCGGGAAGTTCCAGCTACCGCGCCGCCGACGACGAAGCAAGAGGTTAGAAGAATCGAGAGGTTTGAGAGAGACAAGGAGAGGGTAAAGGACGGAAGGGAGAATGGAAGAAATGGATGCTGAAATGAGCTACAGCTTGGTCGCTAGGAATCCATTTTTGTAGAGAGCCTCTTCTCCTTCTTCGTCTTGCTCTCTCGGTTTGCCTTTACTACGAAGAAAGAATGTTCTTTTCCCTTGAGACGGAGTCGCAGTTGAAATTGGAAAAACCAGTAGAGAAATAGAAGAGAGGGGTTGGCGCTGGTAAACGACCGCGTTTGGTTCGAGAATGAATCGGCCTGGGCCACCGTGTAGACTGACCTGGTAAAAGTAGAACGACTTACTTTGGTAGCTTCTATTTTCTAACCTTGTAAAATAATGTTGTGCAAAATAGTGTTATTATCGTGTAGTTTGCTGGTAGCTAAACTAAACTGTTAGCCTAAAGCACACAGGTTCAATCTCATTTTTCATTAGAGAGGAGTCATTTCATTAGACCTGAGATCTTAGCTTAAGTTTTGTATCGGATGCTCTCCTAGAAAAAAAAATGTTGGATGCTCTCCCCTCTCTCCTTCGCTGCTGGAGAGAAACAGGAGACTTGGTTTTCGCTATGCTTTTGCTGCTACTTGCTTTCTGCCTAAGGATTCAATGGTGGGGGGGGGGGGGGGGGAGGGGGTGATTGGGGATCCATAAATAAGGGTCCTCGTCAATCTGGCACGAAGCCTCTTAATGAAGGGGATGGTCAATCTGACCGTCCTCCGGCGAATTATCATGTTCGAAAAAAAAACGGAAACAAAAGTTTGGGCAAAGGAGATCTCTCCTCTCCCCTCCGGTTTCCTAATTTCGTTGGAAAACTAGTGGTTGTCGTGTTCTCGGCGGTCCTAAGGTCTTGCGTGAAGAATCAAACGCGAGGGAGAGAGAGACATGATGGGAATCGATCTAAAACAGCGGACAGCCCGCCGCTGAGGAACTTGCAGATGGGGAAGGTGAATCACGTACATCCCCATGCTGGCGACGGACTCGATATTGTGCTCAGCAATTTGGCCCTGGTGCCAGTTTTCACTATCATCCCAAAATAAGGGCTGGTAAAAGATGCCTAGATGCTACTCATGAAAAGGTTGAGGATTATAGCGTTCGGCTAGTTAAACATAGACGTCTGCCGGAAGATAGCGCCTGGCGACTATATCTCCCTAGTTCGTGGGAGGTTGATCACAGCTCCATGGAGACCTCTGATCCTGGTCGGGAGACAGAAGTCGCCTCCCCCGACGGGGAGAATCTACGGCCATCCCGGCAACTCAATGACGATGATCGGCAGCAGCGTCCGCCGGTGGTCCTCTTCTGAGGGTCTGTTTGGAACATATCTCCAGCAGATACCAATCCCGTCTTTTTCGGGATTCCCTTATCTTTCCGGATCAGTTGGTTACTCGTAAGAAGAGTCCTACGTCGGAAACTAATCTAAACAAACTAATTCAAATTGGAGTGGGTCACTCGGGACACACCTCTTCCAAGGCTTTTAAAAACCCGTTCCAGGATTGCTACCCACTACCTTACGTAGTATTGAAAATCCGAGAAGAACAATTCCCTCCTGAGCCCAAGTGCTTCCATCTCAAGGTACTTGCTTCTACCCCCCCCCCCCCCCCCCCCCCCCCCCCCCTTACGTTTAATCTTGGTGGCTTTGGTTTTGCTAAGACCTTGGCGGCGGCAACCATGCAATATACGTGCATGGATTTATTGCGTCCAATGAGTCCGGCGCCAATTAAGGTGAACCGGCTCGATGCTAATACTAGTGCTTCCCCAGGTCCCCAGGATTGTACGATGGCTCGTGCTTCTTCTGATCAAGTGGTGTAAATCTCCATGGACGAGGTTCAATCGTCCAAATATCGCTCGACACATTCGCTGCTGGGCCGTCTCTTCACCAATAAACGGATTTCCACCATGGAAGTTAGAGATGCGGTGATCAAGCACTGGAAGATGAAAGGGACTTTGAGGGTGATGCTGACCAAACAAGGGTTGCTTGATTTTTCTCTTCCTTCAGAAGAGATTAAAACCTGGGTTCTTCAACGAACGTCGTAGGTGGTTAATGACATGATCTTACATTTGAGATCATGGACGCCGAATATCTCGAAGAGTATCTATACCGACCTGGCTATGGTGCCGCTGCGGGTGCAGATGTGGAATGTCAAAGAGGACTGTTGCACACATCAGTTCGGGAGGAAAATGGCTCTGAGCAAGCTTGGCCAGGTTCTGGAAGTTGGGATTTTTGCTAGCCATGATACTGGTGAGAGATTTGTGAAGGTGCGGGCGATACTGGACCTCACCAGGCCGTTGCGCTCACAAATCTTGGCGACCATAGATGACACTGGGTCCTTCTCGGTCTCACTCAAGTACGAATATTTACCATCCTTCTGCTTTAATTGTGGCCGAATTGGACATTTCAACGAGCGAATGTACTTTTGACCCCCCAGTTGGCCAGGAGAAATTTGGGCCTCATATGTCCACGAAAAAACTGGGTGTTCGCTTGTGTGATTCGGAGGATGAGGCTCAGCATTTTCGTGGCAAATCGAAATCTGTTTGGATTAACAAGGAGTGGACCGCCATGTTCAAAATATCCCCCGTGAGGGGGGTAGCCAGCTGGGAATGGACGATTGCCAGGCTGTTAATCAGGGACATGGTAGCCCAATCAGTGGGGGAGGCCATCCGGCCCATGTCCACAAACACCGAAGCCCACGAGGCTTCCCTGTGAGACGCTCGCCGCGGGCTCGGCCTATCCGGCAGACCCGAAGGAAATCTCCTCTGCCAGACCGAGTTGGGCCGCTGCGGGCTGAGCATGGAGGGGAGGCAGGCCCAACTAGAGCCCGTGGCGGGAGTCATAATTCCCAGCCCAACCAACACACTGCCAAGATGAAGGGAGTGGTAGCGGGCCGGCCCATGAAGAGAGGAAAGCGCCAGGAAATCCACCCCGCCTGTGCGAAATCGAGCCCAGCTCCCAAACCTCGGCGCCGGCTCATTTTGGAGGATTCGGATGCTGATGGGGAGGCGACACTGCATGAGTCAAACCCATCCTCCCAACGTAGGGAGGTGGCGAGAAGCTTCAAGAGGCGCCTAGTTAAAGCTGCTACTCTTCACCCCAAGGAAACTGACGTTGGCCAGTGGACACATGCTATGGGAGTTGAGGATGATTTATTGGATCCCTCCTCTGAGGAGGATGCTTCTCAATTTATGATTACTGCTCGGGCTCCGAAGAAAGCAACCATGCAGGCACCTTGGGGATTGAAGGGGCATGTTCAGCAAGTTGTGGCTGCTTTGGAAACCGGGCTGCACCTTAAGTCCGGGGACGATGATGCAGGGAGAAAAGCTATGGCCCCCGGATCTGGTACAGGGTATGAAGGATTGGGAAGAGGATGATGACAGCCACGACTTGGGAAAGCTCAATGAGTACGGGTCCAATCTAGTTGACCCAGATACTGGTAATCGCAAACGACCTTTGAGTGCGATTGAAGGGGAGCTGGGAGTGGATCCTATCCCTAAGAAACAGTTTGTGGAGGAAGATGCTAATACGGTGGAGGTAGCCAGCCAAAAATGGCCCCAATCTGATAAATGAAGCTTCTCGCATGGAATGTGAGAGGAATTGGGTCGTCCCTTACATTTCAGACTGCTGTCGGTTTAGTTCGTTCTAATAAGCCGGACCTTGTTTTCTTTTCTGAAACAAGATCGCGCCGGCGCGTTGTCTCCCGTCGTATGCGGGGCTTGGGTTTTGAAAATTTTCAGTGTTTTTTTGTTGATGCCATCGATTCGTCTGGTGGTCTTGTTCTAGCTTGGGCCCCCGAAGTTAATGCTTCGAGTTTTTTCCATTCCAACTTCTGTATTTGTATTCAAATTAATGAAGTGGAATTTTCTTACGTTGTGGTGTTCGTTTACATTAGTTGTATTGAAGCAATCAGAGCTAATCAATTGGCTCAGTTACGGGAGATTTGCGAGGGTATCGCGCTACCTTTTGTGATTATAGGAGATTTTAATGTGACTCTCCAAGCAAGCGAAAAATACGGTGGCAACCCCTGGAATGCGTCCCATGCCATCCACCTTCGTGATTTTATCCATGATCTGGGCCTCCATGATCCTGGTTATCAGGGTGACTAGTTTACTTGGACCAATAAACGGATGGGGGTGGATTGTATCAGAGAGCGCCTCGATAGAGCTTTGTGCTCCCAGGCTTGGGTTGACCTCTTCCCTGATACCCTTGTTAAACATTTTACTGATCAAGGATCGGACCATCGGGCCCTTCTCCTCTCTGATAAACTGTATACTCGCCACTGTCGACCTCTTTTCCGTTTTGATGCCCGTTGGGCGGATAACCCGGAAGTTAAGGCTATGGTCACCTATGTCTAGAGGGAGGAGATTCAAGGGACCCATATGTATCAGTTGTGGGAGAAACTCAAAAAACTCCGGCATTTGCTCTATGATTGGATCAGGGCAGGTACTACTAATTCCCTTCGCAATATTAAGACAATCCAAGCGGAAATAGATCGTGTCAAATTAATTCTCCCAATTGACTGGGAGACTGTGCAAACGCTAGAATCTGAGTTAAACAGGCAATGGGAAGCGGAGGAAGTTTACTGGCAACAGAAATCGAGGGTCCACTGGTTAAAAAAAGGGGACAAGAACTCGGCTTATTTTCACACGGTCACTAGGACTCGCCAGAAACATAATTTTGTGGCGGGCCTTCGAAATGATGCGGGGGATTGGATCACTGAGGAGGGAGGTAAAGCAGACATTGCCACGAGTTTCTACCAAAATCTCTTCTCCTCAGAATGCCAGGTGCCTAACATGAGAGACCGTGTGGAAGCATTAACAATCGACCGGCGGGTCACGGAGGAGATGAATGCCAATCTCACGGCAGTGGTCCTTCCAGAGGAAGTTAGAAAGACGGTCTTCTCAATGGGATCGAAGCAAGCGCCAGGGTCTGATGGCTTTACGGGGAAGTTCTTTAAATCCTTCTGGAACATTGTTGGAGAGTCTGTCATAGCTGCTGTGGGCTCTTTCTTTTCCACTGGAAGAATGTTACGCAGCTTCAACCATACCTGGTTGACTTTGATTCCGAAGGTTGACAATGTGGAGAATATGAAGGAGCTCCGTCCCATCAGCCTTTGTCAGTTTGTGTACAAGATCATCACCAAAATTATGGCAGAGCGCCTGGCTAGATGGTTACCCCGAATTGTTTCGGAAGGGCAAAATGCCTTCATTCGTGAATGCCAGATCGTGGAAAATGTCATTCTTGGACACGAACTTATGCA